GCAGGCGGCGACCGTCCACAGAGAGCCTGCACTGGCGAGTTCCTGGTCTTCGCCGGATCTCCTGGTGTCCTTGCAGGCGGAGCCCATCCACGTCCTAGGGCGGCTTAATACCTGCTCTGGCGAGCATCCTGGTCTCCAGGCTTCTGGCGATCCTCCGATGACCTTCGGAAGCTCCGATGGCTTCCGAAGGTGACCGTTTCTGCAGCAGGGCCTTCTTCGGTGCCGTTTCAGATATCGTGAGCCAGATTAACACATAATGGGCCAGATAGTGAGAGAGAGAAAAACAACAGAGAAGAGAAGGTGTTAAATGCTACGAGCCGATTTTTGTTTATGATTTGCAGTTTTTAAGGTCGAATTTTCGTTATTTTCGTCTTTTTTTCATATTGTGTTTTATGTTAACAAAGCTAAGTTAAAAGAGGAAAATAGGAGAGGGAGACGGCAATAGCGATCCGCGAGGACCTAGAACTACCAAAACGTCTCTTGATAGATACGAGAATAAACTAAGGTAAATGACAACTGGCAACCGCAAAGGTCTGTTTGAACCATTGACGAACCCGAAAGGAAAGTATGCTGGCGTCGACTACCTATGAGAGGAAAGAGGGGGAAGGTGTTGCTTGGGCAACACGACCTTCCCGTTTCCCTACGGACCTAAGCACTTGTACATATAAAAAATGACTGGCTCGTAGCACACAAATGGGGGGAACAGAAGAAAGGAATTTAGCCCTTGTGCACTTATGCGGCCCTGTAGAATTGCCGACGACGATTATAGTGATTGATGAGTGTCAAATGAAAGGAAGAGTGACCTCCTATAGAGCAGTAGTGTTGCCAACACGTTGAATAAAGTTCATTTTAACAATAGTGCAACTAATTATTTATAAACGTAATTTAAAATTATTTCAACTACCACATTGAATTTAACATTTAATAATATGCGACAGAATGACGCATTAATGAATGGTGATGTGAAAATTATTTCCAAGCTTCTTCGCGAGCGAATCTTCTCGAGATATGCCGAGGAAGTAATTTATTGACGGGGGGACTGATCCAAAAATGCCGTATTTTTTAAAGCTAAACGAGCTGGGAAAATCTATAAATAACTCACTCTATCTGCGGATTTATGATGGGCGCTCATGAAATGCCCTACAGGGATTTATCATGAATCACAAACCAGTGGGATTACCCAACATGCCGGGCGACATTTAAAAGTGTGAGCGGGTTGTGATTAATTAAGTGGATCCTAAATCAGACTTAAATCCTGTCCTAAATTAATGGACGTAATTGCGGTCACACCTGCTCAAGTTTGCCGAACATATGAATTACTTTAGCTTCATAACTTTCTTTTATCCGTCGGGGACACGCGAGTACATTACACATAAATGCAACCTCAAGAATTCAGACACTCTGACACTATACTATGAGGATATCTCTTGGTGTTATATTCAAATATACTAGTCACGTTACAAGCTCCGTTCTAGCGTCGATAGAACGTGTCACCAACGAACATGTAACGGTTGCTATGTATTATCCATACATTGTGACAATTAGTGGAAACAATTAAAAGGAAATGGCAAGCTGTTCTCTCAGACATAACACTCTGTCAATCACTCAAGTGAAAGTGAGGTCAGAACTGCCCCAGCTGACTTTCAGGTGAGTTCAGGTCAAAACAGGAAATAGTGAGAGAAGAATTTAATGAGTGAATGTTTGTGAAAAATAAATCACGAACGCGCTAAATTCGTTGCAATTGAAACAATATAATTTAATCCCCCCCAAAAATTAAATAAAATAGACACTAATAAATGAATGATATTCCTAATGTTTGACTTCATACTCTATCACACAATAATGAGATGTGAGGTCAGAAAATGAGAAATGAGAGTGTGCTATTTTGACCACTTAGCACTTTTTCCCAACAAGAACCCAATGTGAGCATGGCTGTACACGGCTTAACACATTTAGGGAGAAAATAGAAAGGAAATGAAAGGAGAAGGGGCCCAAATGTGTACTCTCGTTTTTTTAAGTTTGTCATCTTGTGTTTGTTTGTGGCGAGCGGTTTTTCTTTGGAGACTGATTCGGTTGCGCGCCAAAAGGGCACAACTACCACCGTCTGCCACCAGAATGTAAAGGGTATAAATTAACCTCTAAACATTGGTGATAGGACAGTAAAAGGCTTGGGTGGCTTTACACTCTTTATTATTAAGAGTTCAGCACATGGATTAAGTTTAACACAACGACGAGAATCTTGGGTAGCACTGGGTCACCTGGGGTTACGGGCGACCACCGCCTCAGTGGGCAGACTAGCCGCGAGGACAAGATGTGACCTTGCCGCGCCAGAGCACACTGTAACTGACAGGGGTCATCCTTAGAGTATAAGTTGCGGCGGCCACCGAAAGCAAGGGGGGGAACACCAGGTGGAACCGGGTCACGAGCAGCTGTTCACAAGGGTGACCCAGCAGCTGTTCGCAAGGACTTTCCACCCGGTATAGTGTGTATGTATGTTTAT